AGAGTAAAAGCTGGGAGGCCAGTGGTGAATATAAATGAGTCACTGGAAAAAATTAGTAAGACAATAAACATAGTTAATAAAGAACTTTCAGAGTACTAATCAAATGATAGCTATTCACAGGCCAATGGCTACTCATCAATTAAGTCAAAAGATGAGATGAATCTGTTAACCAGGAGGAAAGATAAGAAAGAGCAGATGAAGTGCTTCTCTGTTTTAGCCTCCTCGTCAATCAAGCAGTATACCACTAGGTACTTCCCAGGTGTTCATGAAGATCAATAAAAGTGTCTAGCTCAGTACCTGGTCCATAGTAAATGCTCAGCCAAATACTAGTCTCCCGTTCTATGAGACTCCACAAATAAAAATAAATTGATATAGACGTAATCTGAAAATTCAACAACACTAAAACTTAATGGGCTGAAGTAAAAAATCAAAATGGAAATTAAAGACATCATACTTAATAGCCTGATGCTATACAGTGATAATTCTACATACTCCCTGAGTTTGCGAAGCATTGTATATACACGTTCTCCTGACACAGAATATGGTTTGGGTCTCAATACCTAATATTGATGGCCTTTTATGGAAAGTAAACACTCTTATAATGAGTACCATGAAATCCCTGACCACTCAGCGACCCTTTCTGACCCCTTTGTCATAACCCTGCTTCCTCTCTTGGCCCTTTTCTAAGGTGTCAGCTTGCTTTGGTGTCCTGAAATACTTGAATATTTTAGTATAATTCTCCTTTCTTTTTCTGATGGACAGATTTATTTTCTATTATCTTTAATGAAATTTCCAGAGATAGACTGTAGGTAGTTATGTTAATGAGATTTATGCTTCTTCCTCCTTTGCAAAAAAAAAAAAAAAAAACCCTTTGGAGCAGAGCTGTGTCATTCAGATCCATCAGAATTATGGTCCACTCATGCACATGCAGTCATTCCCATCTAAACTCCCTGGAGACAATGTGTAGAAGTTTTAGTAACAGTAACAGTTCACATGTCCCTACCTTGTTATTTTCTTTGATTCTACTTATTTATCAAATTTCATCATAACTGATTAAGTGTCTTGGTGTCTAGAATATGAAGTATTAAAAGCCAGACGTTAGCTGGGATCCATTGAAGAGCAAAGGATTTATAACTCATGTGAACAGTAAAATATGATCATTTCTAGAATCCCCCTTCAAAAAAAAATGTATTTCTACTACTGTGTACATTGTGCCCCTGATAATGTTCAAAACAATAGGCTTTTTTAGTTAAATTTGGTTACATCCATACCTGTACTCTATAAAATAACATCCCATTAATGCTTCACACAATACATCTCAAAACAATTGATGAATTTTTAATTATAACAATTTAAATTACGCCAAGACTGTATAAAACATTAGACTCTGGCCCCGCCGATGTGTCTCAGTGGTTGAGTGTCGACTCATGCAGCAAGAGGTTGCCATTTTGATTCCCAGTCAGGGCACATGCCCAGGTTGTGGGCCAAATCCCCAGTGGGGGGCATGCAGGAGGCGGCCAATCGATGTTCTCTCTCATCAATATCTCTATCTCTCCCTCTCCTTCCTCTCTCTCTAAAATCAATAAAGAAAAAATTAGAGTCTGAGAAGGAGAGTGCACCTTTGTCCAAAACTTGCCAATAGTTTGTTTTCTTACCTTAGATTTTCTTAACCTGTGGACCTCTATTGAATCAGAATCATCCGGAGGACTCAGTAAATATACAAACGCCCAGGCCCATCCTACTTCAATGTGCCTGGTCTCCATGTTCTTTAATGGCACCGTGGGTGACTTTGATAGTCACCAAAGTTTGAGAATCACTGATTTAACCTCTGATATTTTAATTCCTCTTTAAAAATATCTCATTGGTTTGAGTTTTGGAGAAACCAAAGGATATAAGAATAGACACAGAAATAACAGGAAATTTCTGGAAACCATTCTTGCCAAGCAAACATATATGGAGGAAACTTGTATTTGTCCCCATGACAGCATGCCCAGCAGGCAGGATTTAAGGAGCCTGGTGTATGTAGCAGGTGCCTCTTCCCTTCTGGGGAATGGAACAGAAATCATGTGTGTCCCCCCTGTTTTGGGAGGATGAAAATCAAGAGTGTTTCTTAAATAAATTTCTTTCACTTTCCCATGACCCAACCAGAACTTCTCAGTCCCCAGTTTTCCCAGCAGTGTCCCCAACCAATAAACCTGCCAATTAAGCAACTGAATATCATTATCATGAATGTAATTACAGACTGTAATTATGAGCTCATAAATGCTTCCCATGAGTGAAGCCCTTTTCCCAAACCATCTCGGCCTCCTTTCTTAGGAAAATGCAAGGCAATCCTATCCCTTGCCTCACCCTTAATACAGCCTCCCCTGCTTAGAAAAAGTCCCGCTCTCGCTGGCCCAGGGGAAATGCTGAGCAAATTTAACAGGCTGTACTCTGAGGAGGAATTACCCCCTTGGGCGGAGTCCCTTTCAGCATCTCTCATCCAAGCATGTTCACTAGCTCCCTTCTCTAGGGAGCAGTGACTATCCGGTTTGGCTGTATGTCCTAATTTCTGTTCAGGCAGGGAAATTAATACCAAATTTTGAGAATTTCTGTCGAAAAAATGAAATGTTGGAGGTTTTACAAAATAGTGTGATAACTTTAACATTGCTCAAGTGGAGCTTTACAGGATGCAATTGGCCAAGGACTTGGAGAGTCCCAGAAAATAAAGCAGACATCACAGAAACACGCATGGACGAGAAGGCTTGTCATGTCTGTAGAAATAAAATGAATCTCTTTAGGCCCAGAATTAACTCTTGCATTCAGTAACTTTATATTTAGTCCATGAATACCTCAAACCCTCATGGATAATAAATACTAGAATGGATTCTACATAGATAGGTTGAGTCTGAAATGCAATACAGTCTCCCAAGATCTTAATCTGTTTTCTTCTAATGGATCGTAAGCATAAGTGTCTGTAATTGTACCAGTAGCTGGCATGGTTGAGTCCAGACTATTCATTGAAGAATGCCATATAAACTCTTAGGAGAAAGGGCCCATATTTATTTAACAGACTTCATACAATGCCTAGCACAGCGCTCTGCATAGAGTGAATTTTCAGGGCTCTTCTCTGAATAAGAACAAATGTTACATCCAAGAGCTATCGCACTGTATGACTTTTAAAAGGGATTATTGCTTACTGGCCAAGGTAGGCTATTTAGAGCCCCAGCATTTCCATTTACTGTACAAAGGAATCATGTACATGACTTTATTGTTGTCGTCGATCACAGTCTTGTCCTGGAGTAGGAGTGGAGTGTATGGCTTCCAGAATTTTCACCTAGTAACCTGAAGCCCCAGAGGGTAAACGTAACTTCCAAAAGTGACTGAACGTAGATTACACTTTGACAGAAACCATCCTAACCAACATCAACTGAAGACATTCAGAGGGGGTGCTTATGAAAACCTAAACTGTTTTTAACTCTCATGTTAAATAATTTAAAAATCATTTTAAAAGTTTGAAAACAGCTTAAAATTCCTAGTACTATGCACAGATCAGAATGGACTTGTCTTTCTAATATGGATATCTATAATCCTTTGGTAAATTCAGCATTAAAAAATGTACTTATAAATTGTAGTCTTTCAGTCACTGTATGTGATCACTTTAAACGTAGAACTGTGTTTATGTTACATTCTTTTTTATTTTGACAGACAGTAGCCTATAAATTTTTGGAAATATGGATAACCAATATTTTATCCTCACTTGAGGACATTTTTTCATTTTTTGTTCAGATAGAGTGGGAGGAAGAGAGAGAGAGAGAAAGAAACATTGACGTGAAAGAGGCACATCAAGTGGTTGCCACCCGCACGACCCAACCAGGGCCGGGGACAAACTGCAACCGAGGTACGTGCCCTTAGCGGGAACCAAACACGGGTCTCTCTGGACCGCAGGCCGACGCTCTAACCGCTGAGCCAAACCGGCCAGGACTGGATTATATTTTTTAATGTGTATGCATATACAAATATGTGTATTAGCTTGCTCATTTTTACTTTCTACTTTATATCCATGTACAGTAAAGATAGTAAGAAGGTAAAATTCTAAATAAATAAATAGTCAAAAAATAAATAAATAAAATAAAATTATTGAAACATTTATTTAGGAATTTTTTAAAAAGAAGAAGAAGAAGGTAAAATTCTTCACTAGGTAAGGTTAGTGTGACAAAGTTTTCATTATATATTTCCATTTTTTCCCCATTTTCTAGAAGGCTGACCTTCAAGTCCCTATCAGTAGAATAGAAAAAAAAAAACACATAATATACATCAATAATTGACTGCCTGTACCTCAACCAAAGAGACTTGGGGCTTATCAGTCTATCATTAGGGCTCTTAATTCACCCCACAACTAAAGTACCACCTGCTGTCCTTCATTAGATCTCACTGCCAATTTGAGACTACAATGAAACCATTCACAAGATCCAGCCTCCTTCTTTTAGGCCATCAGAGGTAGAAGGAGAACAGAGTTGTCACAGTGTAGCCACGTGAGCATGTCCCACTTAAGTAACAGAGTGCCCCTCAGGTCAGCTTGTGATAAAACCCAAGTCAAACAAGGCTGAATCCTGGATGTTTTCTGTCCTAAGGATCTAAAAAGTGTTCATGACCAGCCCTGACCTACCAGACCTCAAATGGTCACCTAAGCAGTGACATAAATTGGTGTAAACTTGCTCTTGGGACACTGCTGTGGAAGCGAGACTGGCGAAAGTACAGCCTTCCCAGGGAGGAACTAATGTCCTTGTAGGCACTAAAAATACGGGGAATGTGTTGATTACTCCAACAGGCAATCCAACTGCGGTGGCTATATGCCCAAGGCTGACAAATTCTGCATCTTTTCACTGCCGTCAAGTGGAGATGCATGTGAATACCATCAGCCCGAAAGAATTGAGAAACGACTGGCCTTCCAGAACTGCATCTCAACAAAATCTTGACAATGCCAACAGTTCATCATCTCGTATTTTTCAACCCTCCAGAAAATGGCCTTCCAGCCTGGGACAAACCAAAGCACTGTCCAGACCAAGAACACGACTGGAAGCTAGTAGGAATGTCTGAAGCCTGTCTGCATCGGAAGAGCCATTCGGAGAGGCACAGCACATTGAAAAATGAACAGTCATCGCCACATCTCATCCAGGCCACTTGGACTAGCTCGATATTCCATCTGGACCATGACGATGTGAATGATCAGAGTGTCCCAAGTGCCCAGACCTTCCAAACGGAAGAGAAGAAATGTAAAGGTAACCAGATTTTTATTAGACCATATCAAGTGTGTCAACAAGGAAAGAAAATTCTCTGCTGTGACTGTGTGCTTAGTCTTCATGTATTCCAGTGTACAATGTCCATGTGTTTTTCCCAACAATTCTGTTACGAAGTTTCTTTACCCCCAAATCTTCTTCTAAACATAAATAAATAAATGGGTTCCCAAGGAAAGCAGTTAATTTCAGTGCCATGTTGCGTTGGGGCACTTGGGGAAAAGATGTTTGCGTTTCTCTAATTAGCAGAAAGGTTGTTAGCTTTGGCTCTAATTCTATATTTGAATCTGAGTAGAAACAGACATTGCTATCATTATATAAGCACTTGCTTTGAAATATGTGTACGTGTGTGTGTGTGTGTGTGTGTGTGTGTGTGTGTGTGTGCATTTATTTCCCAATTGTGCCAGCAGCTAATGGGTTCTCAAAGTCTACCTTTCAACTGAATAGACAATTTATGTTCATGATCAAAAGAGAGATTTTAAATTGTTGTTTTTTAATCTCATTAAATCCTTGTGTCATCATCCTGAAAGGCTAGATTATGGTCTTAGGAGGTTGTCACCTCATAAAAAATATGTTAAACTGGCCTAAATTCCTGATTGCATTAGATTTAACTGGTCTTTACCTCAAGTCGCCTCCACCTTGACAGATGTCTTTGTGCTGATCGCTTTATCGTCTTAGGGCTCCCCAAAATCTTTGCTTCTTAAGTTAGTCTTTAAATGTCCAAGAAATCAATTTGTGTCTTTAAATGTCCAAGTTCATGTAATTTATTCTTTTTCAATTTAGCTTAAAAAAAAAAAAAGAAATGAAAAAGGCTTTTGTTTTTTCTTTAAGAGTTTTGACTCATGATAAAACTTTAAATTGGCTATTTGAAAATCTGGCAGTCACATACAAACATATATTAATGAAAGTTTGTAAAGACTCCTATATATGAGCCATGAAATACTTTTGCAAACTCTTCTAATTTGAACATAAACACATGATTATATTTATCCCTCTCAAAAAAAAAAGATTGCTAGTCCTTTAGCTTTTCTGGAAACACTTCAAAAGCTCCCTAGAACTACCAGTTGACCTGGGAAGTTGAGTGTGCAGATTGTTTCGGAACAAAATAGGCTTATCTAAAAATAATAATAAATAGTGGTATAAGCTCTGATTGGAGAACAGTTAAAACCACCCTTGTTCTCTTTGGAAAGATTTGTGTTGTCCCTTATCTTTATTATTTAGGAGATTTGAACAATTGAAAGGGATATTTAGAAAAAGAGCAAAATAAGCTTTTTCAAAAGAGGTGGGATATAGGACAGGTATGTCTGTGTGTGTATGTACACATGTGTTTGCAATACAATTGACATTTATTCTTAGGATTTGTAACAGAGCGTAGCTTCAAATTTTATGAGCTGGCATCAAAACCATGTCAGTCCTTGGTGTACAGTGAAATGCCAACAGAAAATGCAGTGTTCTCATAATCATACTCCTATTCATTCATTCATTTATTCATTCACTCATTTAATCATAGGAACAATCTATGTCTTGATCATTTTTAAGAACTATTGACTGTGGGTATCTAGAGTTCTCTACACTGTACACTTTTCAGTTTGTTCATATACCTTAAAAGAAAAAAGAAAAAGTATTTGGATCCAAGACCCTAAGTACAATACAATGGTTAAGACCACATTTTTCAGTCTGACGTATTTGGGCTGGAATCCTAATTTCTGTCCTTGAGCAAACTTATGTGAATGTTGATGAAATAAAATAAGATAATGTTTTAAGCCTTTCGCCTAATACCCTCACACAGTGCTCTCTAAATAGCAGCTATCATTATTACTGTGATCCTCAGTTATTACTTCTGCATCATTAAGTCACATCAGTTCCTCGGGTGGCACCGAGTGCCTGGTAAGGATGTGGGAGGGAGGGCAGGACCAATGAGTGTGGGCTGGGACTTGACATTCCAGGGAGGTTAGAGTTGATTTCGCATTCATTTGGCTCTCTACTGCTGAAAGTCAGAAAATTATTTAATAAGACACTTTAAATAAATTCTTGAAGTCTTGCCTCAAGATTCTAATATCAAAAGGAAAGCAACTAAGGTAAACTCTTCTGTAGACTCCAGACTAACCGGCGTTCACCTTGGCATGGACGTGACCCAGTGCCTTGGTTCAGTATGAAAATGCCACCAGGAGGCCTACATTGTCATGGCTCAAGAACCTGATTAACTGAATTTCAGTCATTCACAGTGGACACCTGTATTTACTAGTGAGGCCAGGGAAGCAATGTGATTAGTCGTTCTTTTCTTTTTGACCTGGTTCTTCTCCGTCTACTCTGCTCACTGCTACCTCTATACAGTCACTGTGAGGGGAGTTCTATTTTGATGTCCTTCTATACTAGGTGTTTATTTCTTGAATATCTGTCTAGCCCCAAAGCATGCTTGATATATCAGTCCTGGAATATGATTCCATTTACTCATCCCACCAGTGTTTATTGAGTGCTTACTATGTGTGGGACATTGTCCTTGATGTCCAAGCATCAAGAAATAGCAGCAGGGCTAAAAGAACATCCAAGTAGCCCCATTTCTAGGACCCCAAATGGATTTGATAAGAACTAAATGGCCTTCAAAGATACAAAAAGTTAAGGATCTGCAGTGCAGGAGCCAAAAGAACAAATTGACTGCTTAACATTGTGTAATAAGCCCATCTCTAACCAATAATCTAGACCAGAGCACCTGTAAGTGAGATTTGTGGATGGAGATCCTTCTGCACACTATGACTTTTTACAACTCTGTCGATGCAAGTACAGAAACTGAGAATAAGCTTTAAAAACTTTTATAGCCATTTGACATCACCACTGACATTCAGATGCATGATCGGGGCATTTACTTGCTGAACAGGGTATGGACCAGTTGGGTACTGGCAGATCTACCTGTCACACGTGAGACCAGAGCTATAGAAAGTCTTGTGCAGTAAAACCATGTGTTGAACAGGGTATTTTTTTTTTTAAATAATTTGAGGATCACTGATTTGTGCTTTGTAGTATTTTTAAGGTTTTTCTTTAGGCTTATTTTTATGTATCTAATGTTTTGTTTTTCATTTTGGTCTGAATTCTGCCTTCATTTTAACCTACATATACCTGTGTTCCTATGTGCTACAGTCACTCTGATAAAGTTAGTTCATAACATATTTAACTAGAATGAGGTCTCTGAAGATTTTACATTCTACTGCAAAGCCCACAATTCAGATCTGCTTTGGCCCAGAGGCTGTTTCCAGTCAGAGGCAAGTAACCCCATTCCCTTCCCCAGGCTACCCTCTGCCTTCACACTATACCTCCCTGGAGTTTTTGTCACAATCTGAGAGGATAGCTTGGCCATGAGGACCACATCCTCCTCCTGCCCACCTCCTCCCTTCCCAGAGCCCGAGATGATGTCTTTGGTGGTGCTCACAGTCCACCAGCCAGTGGTTAACAGCACCTGTAGCTTCTTAGAAATGCAGAATCTCAGGCCCCAGCCCGGACTGCTGAATTGGAAGCTCTGGAAAGGGGCCCAGGAACCTGTGTTTAGCCCAGGAACCTGTGTTTAGCCCTCTGAGTCTTAAAACCTGAGTATCAGGAAGTCCCTTAGACTATGACTCCTAAATTCTTAGTATAGGAAAGGTTCTGCCACCTAGTGGACACTTGGAAAATGTGCATTTTCTTCCGGTCCTTAACTCACCTGGGGAGCCACCTGAGTCTATCCATCCTTGATTGGGCCTTCCTTTAGCCTGGCTTCTTATCTTGACAGCTAGATGTTCTTTTTAATCACTCTGCCTGGTAACACCTCCCCCTGGGACTTGAGCCCTTCTGAGGGTGCCACTCTATTTGCCTGGAACTCTGATCCTCCTCTGAGTTTTTGTACTGTATAGGCTTTTCCAATTGGCCCTCTCGCACATCCCTAAACTCCTCTCCAGAAACCACAGGGTCCCCCAGTCCCACAGGATGGGTCCCAGCAGATGCAGGCACCCCTATAGCTGAACCTAGCCAGGCCTGCTAAACTCAGGTGGTCAGACCTCCATACTTCAAGGCTTGACCTTGATGTCCATCAGGGACCTTCTTGAAATACTGTAACCTGGTAGGAGAAACAAGGCAAGATGGACTGGCCCACCTCCCTGCTGGCATCAGGACAAAAGGATGGCAGCAGTCTGGAGATTTCACTGAATTGTCTCTGCAGATCTGCTCTGTGTTTAACATCCAGATTATTGAGTCTCAGATCCCCAGGAAGGCAAGAAAAGTAGTCAAAATAATTTCACTAATCTTTCCATGTTCATTGTGCAAAAAGTGAAAATTTCCCAAAGGTTTACCAAAAATAATTTTTAAAAACTATTTGTAATTCTACTCTCCAAGGGCAAGCAGTGTTAAAATCTTTATTATATTGTAGTCATTTTTCTTTGCATATCTATTTCTTACAAACTTGGAGTCATATTAGGTAGACCATTTTTAACCAGCTTTTAATGCTTAAACAATATATTATGAACATTTTCCCTTGTCATTAAATATTCTTTGAATCCTGACTTTTATTGGCAATAGATTATTCTTGCTTGTAGATATACTATAATTTATTAAACCGGGCTCCAAGATTTAGACAAGTTAAAGTAATTTTTAAAACAATATCTTATGTCAGCAAAGGGGCAGAGCATTAACTCATGTTCTTCATAAGGAGAAAAGAATGAATCAAATCAATGATGACAATTGTAAATGATGTATAATTCTCATTTACCAAAATAACAAACTGGTCTAAAAATGAGAGACATAAAACCAAGTCATTGTATGCATTATAATCCTTCAAGTTAGACATTCACATTTTCCGTGGGTGATCGCTATCTTTGTCCTTAAGTAAAATACAAGGACATCTTCAGGTAAATGAATATTTTAGAAGATGGAGGATTAAAAAGTTTGAACCCTCTCACCAGTACGACCATCTGCTCCATCCATCTCCTCTTTCCACTCTGCCCCTACTCACCATACATCAG